TGGGTGGGTGGGAGGGGGTCTGTCTGTCTGGCTGGCTGGCTGGCTGGCGGCAGGCGTGTGTCGTGGCTTCGTCTGCCACCCATCCTCCCACCCTGCCCTGCGCTGCCCTCCCCTGCCTGGCCTGCTCCGTCTGCAGCCTGCGCTCCAACCTGGACAACCACCCCGGCCGCATCTCGGAGCCACGCAGCCGGCGGCGGCGCAGCGGGTCCGAGGCGGCGGCCGGCGATGCGGCGCCGGGCGCTGCCCGCCCCCTCATCCGCCTGGATGCCAGGGGCATACCCATGGGCGTGCTGCCTCGGCGTGGTGCTGGCGCGGCTCCCGAATCAGGCGGCAGCATGACCAGAACAGGCGGTGCCGGCGAGGGCGAAGAGGGAGAGGAGGAGCACAGCGAGCATGCTGCGGCCCTGGAGCGTCGCAAGGACGAGACGGCAGAGGAGAAGCGGGCGCGCAAGGCGGCGGTGAAGGAGGCGCAGCGCGTGGCGAGGACGCAGAAGAAGGAGCTCAAGGGGATGTTCAAGGAGGCATTGGTGCAGGCGCAGCGGCGGGCGGCCACCGCGCAGCCGCAGGCCAGAATCAAGCTGCCGTCGTGAGAGCGGTGCCAGACCCCTGCACCCGCACCTGTTCTCCTCCCAGCATGTTCCTGAGATCGTGCGTGTGTGGCATTGCTGGCCACCAAGTCTGCCGCTGTAATCAGGGGACAGCATTCAAGGGAACTGCTGGTGTGGCGGGCACGGGCGAAGGCGGGCACGGGTGACGGCGGCGGTACGCCAGGTACAGACAGCCCACCTTGAAAGGCAACCAACCGGGTTTCTCATCCGTGCGTCGAATTATCTGAGCAGCTAAAACCACGATGAAGGCCCAGTGGCTGCTTCTAGCGCTGGCCTGCGCCATCCTCATCGGTGCGTGCGCCCAAGATGAGGTGGACATACACCTGGCTGAAACAGCTGAGCTCCAGGAGGAAGATCTGGGGCCGATTGAGGAGCGCACGCACTACTGGTGAGAACGGGGTGATCGGCGGCAGGCATGCAGACGCTGCGCCTCGCACCGTGCTTGCAATGGACCATGCAGCTCTGCACAATGGTGGGTGCGCATCCCAGACATGGGGCCGGGGCGCTGGCCCTGGTCCTTCCCGCCTCCCGCCTTGCTGGGGCCGCCTCACCACCTCTTGCCAGAACACGCCCTGCTTTGCCGCTGCGTGCTGTGCGCAGGTTCAACGATGTGACGGCCGAGTCTCAGTGGGCGTGAGTCTCCATTCCGGCGCCGCTTTCACAGCGCAGCCCTTCCACCTTGCCGTGTTCCGCACCATGCTGCAAGGCTGCTTCTCCCCTCCCTCCTCCGCCGCCTACCCTGCCTGCGCCCTCTACCCAATGCCCGCAGTAAGCCCGAGTACGAGTACACCGATCCCAGCAGCGGCGATGTGTACTATGTCGACCCCGGTGCGAGCCTTGGGGCAGGGCACCTGCCTATGCATCCCTTGCTGCGAGCGAGCAGTAGACCATGCATGCTGCAGGGCACTTGTATGGTGTCAGGCACCGCTTTCCTTAGGAAAAATGACCGCTCTGGGCACACCCAGCGCTGTTGAGCGTCTCTTGTGCTCTTGCCGCCCTCGAACTGCTGCGCCCCTACAACACACGTCCTCTGTGCCCGCAGAGACCAAGGAGACGAGCTGGGACAAGCCCGACAGCCTGAAATGGACAGAGGTGGAGGACAATGACGGTAAGCGGGCCCTCTGGGCCTTGGGCTGGCCTGGATGTGGGTGCCTGGGAGCAGCAGTGGGTTGATGCTGGGGCCCCTGGCTGCCCTGCCTCCGCGTGGCGTGCAGGCAAGGGCACTTACTATTACAACGAGGGCACCAGCGCCAGCCAGTGGGAGAAGGTGACCTGGGTGGTGGCGGCACAGGGCCTGCAACACTTGCGGGCGGCCCGGAGCTGCGGCTGTTCTGCCGCTGTGTCTAGCGCTATGCAGCATGTCCGCTGCATCAGTGCATGGGCAATTCTGGCAGGCATTACTTCCACTGATGAGCCAGTTGGGCCAATGAGATTGATTGCTGGCTTGCCAGCCGCACCCGTGCCGTGCTCTTCATTCCTGCCGCTTCAATTGCCTGCGCTGCAGCCCGCCATGCTGGCCTGGAGGCAGGTGTCTGTGGAGGAGGGCGACCCGCCCCTGGAGGATGCCCACGAAGAGCTGTGAGCAAGAGGGCGCGCTCCGTGACCCGTGACACCGTGACGAGTAGCAAGAGACTTCAATTAGGCCCGCATAGCCTCCTAGCACTGCCTCCTAGCTAAAATACAATTTGAAGACCCAATCCTTTTGCACCCCTGTTTTTCTTCCTGCTCCGCTGCTGATTCCTGCCGTGGCAATCCCCGGCCTGCCTGGCGCTTGTCCAGCGGCCCGCTCAGCGGCGGGGACGACGACCTCCCGTAGGTCGCATGCCCTGCCCGTCCAATTTGCTGTTCTCTGTTTCTATTCATCCTGTCTGTGTTCTGTGTGATTCCCACCCTGTCTGAGGACAGCAACATTTGGATTGTTTGGCGTCCGGTGGCGCCAGCTCAGCATCAATCCTCTATGCAATCGCCAAGGCGATGCTCACACCGTGAGAAACGCAACTCTTTCGACACCCTGAAGACGCACACACCATGGTGGGAGTAGCTACTCAAGAGAACGGCCTGCTCTACCGCTCTGTCAGCTCCAAGCCCCGCCCCTACGACGCCGGGGGCGACGGCGGCAAGGGTCTCTCGCATGTGTGCCTGGAGAGGCTGTCCTACGTGCCGGTGCTGCCCGATTGCCTGCGAGGTGAGGCAGCTGGGGTTCTGCATCGGTGTCGGGGATCGGGGAGGCCAACCCAACCGCACCGCACTCACGGACCCCCCCGGAGAGGATGGGGTGTCGCGGTGCCTCGCTGGGCCGCCCCAGCAGCGTGCTTGGGCTGCAACCCATTCCGACAGCCCTGCCCAAAACACAAGCGTTTGGGCACTGGAGCCGAGCGCCTGCCCTCCCATGGCGATCTCGAGCCATCAGGCCCGCAAACAACCACTCTTGCCAGCTGCTGGCCGAGCATGCTCGCTGTTTCGACAGTCACCCGAAACCCGCTCCGAAACAACTCCGACACGCTGGGCAGCGTTTGTGAGGCACCAGGAGGCAGAAGGGTCAACCAACAGCCGTTGTCACACATTGGCGGTGGCTGGCAGCAGCGGCGGTTCGCCGCCTGCCGCCACGCGGAGTCAGCCTCACCCCACCCGGAGGCCCATTCCGTGTCTCCTCTGTGCAGGCCGGCATGAGCTGGAGGAGGGCGATGCCCGGGAGTGCGTGGGTGGCCACGAGGTGATTTGCAGCCTCTTCCCGCGCCTCAGCAACGCCCACGGCGGCCACTCGCCGCTCAAGATGGTCAACCTGCATCCGGCAGCAGCCCCGGGCCCCGACTCCGAGGGAGGGGAGCAGCGCCCGCTGCGGCTGGGCGTGGTGCTGAGCGGGGGGCAGGCCCCAGGTGTGTGAGTGCTGCCCGTCTGCCGCACTTCAGCAGGGGTGTGGGCCTGCGGACCTGAATATCCTCCAGAGCACCCACCAGCTGAGCGTGCGTATGGAAACCGCGGCTGTGGCACCTGCTCTGTTCACTGATGCTGCGCCATGCGTCCCTCGCCCTCCCACTCCCACGCCGCCGCGCCCCGCAGGCGGCCACAACGTCATCATCGGCCTGCACGACTACCTGCAGCGCTGGCACCCGGGCTCCACGCTGGTGGGCTTCCTGGCGGGGCCACGCGGCGTGATGCAGAACAACTACAAGATCCTGCAGGCAGAGGAGCTGGTGAGGGGGGCGGAGATGAGGGCAAGGAGGGCGCAGGCTGGGCAGCTTGTTTGGCCTATCTTGCACGTGTGCTGCCCCAAGACAGCCACTGGACGCTCCCTCATTGCGTTGTGCCATGGAACCGCACCTGTGCCACCTGCAGGACGGCTACCGCAACCAGGGCGGCTTCCACATGATTGGCAGCGGCCGCGATGCCATCGCCAAGCCCGAGCAGCTGGCGGCGGCGGAGAAGGTGGGTGGCGCTGCTCCTGCCAGGTGGAGGCTGGTCCACTCTGCGCTGCTACACTCTCAGCCCCTAGCCTTGCCTCCCGCTCTTCTTGATGACCCCAACACTGCCATCACACACACGCACACCACACCCATGCAGACCTGCCTTGCCCACGACCTGGACGGCATGATTGTGATCGGCGGCGACGACTCCAACACCAACGCCGCCATCATGGCAGAGCACTTCCTCAAGCAGGACCTCAAGACCAACGTCATCGGCGTGCCCAAGACCATCGACGGTGCGCAAGGCAGCCACACCACCTGTGGAGCTGGTCTGTGGAGCAGGGCATCGCTCTGTGTGACCAGGGCTAGTAGACGGCTGGGCCTCGTCTGTGGTGCCGTGGTCTAGACACATCTTGACCCTGCTGTGGTGTGCCCTGACCTGCCCGCCCGCAGGCGACCTGAAGAACACCGACGTCAACATCAGCTTTGGCTTTGACACCGCGTGCAAGGTGTACTCCGAGATGATTGGCAACATCATGATTGATGCCATGTCGGCCAAGAAGTATTACCACTTCATCAGGCTCATGGGCCGCGCCGCCTCGCACGTCACGCTGGAGTGCGCATTGCAGACCCACCCCCAGGCAAGCGAACGGGCAGGCTCTTCTGTGTAACAGCAGTTGGAATGGCTAGCCCTTGTCCGCGCCTGCAATTCATCGGAGCTGCGCTTTATTCTGCTGGCTGAGAAGCCAAGGAAACAATCCAGCGCGCAGCACAGAAGCTGACAGCGCTTTGGTTCTGTTTTTGGGTGCAGCTGGCGCTGATTTGCGAGGAGGTGGCGGCGCACCGCTGGGGCCTCAAGGACGTCACTCGCCAGGCAAGCACAGCTGGCACCTGAGCAGCAGCACTGCGCTTTCCACAGTAGAAGCCCGCCCACATAAGCTTGTTGCAATGCTTGCTGAGCCAGGGAGACGGGGAGCCATCACCACCATCGCTGCCTGCCCTTGCTCCATGCGCCGTGCAGATTGCCGACATGATCGCGCAGCGCGCAGAGCTGGGCAAGAACTTTGGCGTGGTGCTGATCCCTGAGGGCCTGGTGGAGTTCATGCATGACGTGTCCACGCTGATTGCAGGCGAGGGCAGCAGCAGGGCCGGCGCGCATGCGGGGCAGCCTCGCCATGCCTGCGCTCTGCTGTGCTGCCCAGCCGGGAGGCCAGACGCAGCAGTGGGGCAGCGTTGCTGCGTGCTCTGCTGCGCATTGGTGGCTCACCCCAGGTTGCCATGCCTTCTGATGCGTCGCCGTGTGCCGCAGAGCTGAACGAGATGCTGGCCAAGGGCATCAACCCCGCCGACCAGTCTGACGTCATCGCGCACCTGACGCCCGAGTCCGCAGACGTGAGCGCCCCACCAGCGCTCCAGCACACGGGCGGCTGAGCTGAGCGAGCACACGCCTCACCTGCCTGCCTGCCTGCCTGCCATGCAGCTCTTCTCCAACCTCACCCCCGGCATCCGCTCGGAGCTGCTGGAGGAGCGCGACCCCCACGGCAACGTGCAGGTGTCCCACATCCAGACCGAGAAGCTGCTGATCAAGCTGGTGGGGCTGGAGCTGGCGCGGCGCAAGGCCTCGGGCACCTACCGTGGCAAGTTTGCCGCCCTGGCGCACTTCTTCGGGTGAGTGCAGCAGGGCAGCGGCACGGGCAGGCTGCTTTGCAGCACTTAGTGGGACGCGTGTGGATGGCCAGGGCTGGTCTGTGCAGCTAGCTGGGGCACACGGTTGTAGGAGGGCTGCTGGGAGGGGCGGCCAGCAACCTGCGCCTGTGCCGTTCCAAATGCATGCGCCCCCCCTTGCCTGCCCGCCTGCCTGCCCGCCCGCAGCTACGAGGGCCGCTGCTCGCTGCCCTCCAACTTTGACGCCACCTACTGCAACGCGCTGGGCCAGGCGGCGGGGGCGCTGGTGGCCAGCGGGCGCACCGGCCTCATGGCAACCGTCTCCAGTGAGCCGCCTTTGGCACTTGTGTGCTTGATCGGGCCACGCCCAGCTGGCTGCTGGCATCAGCAGGGCTCAGCAGCAATATGCTGTGATGCGAGCCTGGGATCGTGGATGTGCGGGTCTTGTGTACAGGCTGAGAGCTGAGCTGCTGCTTCCCACGCTGCTGCCCCGCTCCGCAGACCTGCAGCAGCCAGCCAACAAGTGGACTGTGGGCGGCACCCCGCTGCTGTCCATGATGCACCTGGAGCGCCGCTCAGGCCGGTGAGCCTCGCCCAGGCCTGGCGAGGCATGCATGCATGCCTGGTGCCCATGTGCTGCCGTGGGCACAGCACCGCTGCGAGCCGTCCCGCTCACTGCTGCTGTTGAGGCCTGCCCTGTCCTGCCCTGTCTGCAGCGACAAGCCTGTGATCAAGAAGGCGTTGGTGGAGATGGGCGGCGCGCCCATGGCCAGCTACACATCCATGCGCGCCATCTGGGCCATCCAGGACTGGTGCCGCTCCCCCGGCCCCATCCAGGTGCCGCAGCTGCCTGGCTGGGCGGCTCCCATGCTGCCTCTGCAGGCGGCTTAGCTCGTCATCGCGCATCTGGCATGCACGTGTCAATGCACGGCTCATGCACAGGTGCAGCCTGGCCCTGGAACCTGACCCTCGGCCCTGCCCCTGACCCCCTTTCCCCCTGCAGTTCCGTGGCCCCTCTGCAGACATGGCCAGCATCACGCTGGCGCTGGAGACCAATGAGGGGCAGCCCTGCCTGCTGCAGAGCTCGCCCGAGGACGATTGCTGAGGCGCCAGCCTGGCGCTTGGCCCCACCTGTGCACAGCTGCTCATCTTTTCAACCTGATGACCCAAACTACGATTGAAGCATATTGCGCAGAGAGATCTATGTATGGTCGCAGCAGACCGATCTATTTTTTCCTTCCCCACTCCCGCCCTGTGCTTTTCGGGGGCCTGCCGGCGGGTCAAGTGGTGGCCTGCGCAGACCCCACGATGTTGCTGTGCATGATGCGATTTTTGGGAAGGTTGGCGGACCACATTTTTGGGAGTGCATTGGAGAGGACAGCATCCCACCCCCACCCCCACTCCCTGCCATGTTCACATTGGCAGCTAGTGTGTTGATTTTGGAGTGCCTTTGCCAAGGCCTGGCATTTTTGCACTGCCCCCCGCAATTGAGATTATGTCGGACTCTACCTCTCAAATTTAAATCCATTCCCAATCCTGGAGACACAACCATGTCTGCTGCATTTCTTGTAGGCAACATTGGCGGGCTGGACAAGCCACGCCTGCTGGAGGGAGGGGCAGACAAGTTCGCCTCCGAGGTGTCCTTGGACAGGCTTGCCTACCGTCCCACACAGCCTGGGGTGCTCCAAGGTGGGGGCTGGGCTTAGGGTTGAGCACAGAGCCGCCCGTGCGGCGGCAGCGGTGCTGAGCGACGCGCCGCCGGCCCTGCCGCCACTCTCTGCAGGGCCTCACGATGTGGTAGAGGGCGATACCCGCGAGTGTGTGGAGAGCCACGACGTCATTTGTGGCCTGTTCCCCAACCTCAGCGGATCCGAGAATGGCAATTCGCCGCTGAAGATGGTGCACCTCACAGCAGCGGCGCCGGCCGGGCCGGGCGGGGCGCCTGAGCCGCGCTCGCTGAGGTTGGGCGTGGTGCTGAGCGGGGGCCAGGCATCAGGTGAGGTGCCCTGCGTGTTGGTTGCGGCAGCTCTGCACCTGTGCGCAGGCACACCGGTGTCCGCTCGTCTCCCCCGCACCCCGCAGGCGGCCACAACGTCATCATCGGCCTGCACGACTACCTGCAGCGCTGGCACCCGGGCTCCACGCTGGTGGGCTTCCTGGCGGGGCCGCGCGGCGTGATGCAGAACAACTACAAGATCCTGCAGGCAGAGGAGCTGGTGAGGCGGGCTGGGGGCGCTGCTGCTGGCTACACGGCCAAATGGCGCTCTCAGGCGCGTTTCAATGCCTGCTGCTCTGGCTTTGCTGAACTCGCGCCTGCAGGACGGCTACCGCAACCAGGGCGGCTTCCACATGATTGGCAGCGGCCGTGACAAGATTGAGAAGCCCGAGCAGCTGGCTGCTGCCGCTGAAGTGGGCAGGATGGAGGCTGTTAGCTCCAGCTGATTGTCTAGCTCGCACTGTAGCCCCCACCTGATCCTGTCTGTTCATTGTGCTCTGCAGGCCTGCAGCCAACTACAGCTGGACGGCATGATTGTGATTGGCGGCGACGACTCCAACACCAATGCCGCCATCATGGCTGAGCACTTCCTGGGGAGGGGGTTAGCCACCCGCGTCATCGGCGTTCCCAAGACCATTGATGGTCTGTTGCACTGCCAGCCTGGGGCAGCCTGCTGCAGCTCGCAGCCTGTGAAAGGCCACTTGCTGTGTCCCTCTGCGGTGCGCTCTGTCTGTGAACAGCACAACCTGTCCCGCCTGCAGGCGACCTGAAGAACACCGACGTCAACATCAGCTTTGGCTTTGACACCGCGTGCAAGGTGTACTCCGAGATGATTGGCAACATCATGATTGATGCGCTGTCGGCCAAGAAGTATTACCACTTCATCAGGCTCATGGGCCGCGCCGCCTCGCACGTCACGCTGGAGTGCGCGCTGCAGACCCACCCCCAGGCAGGTGGCACCCGTCCTGCTGCACCCGGGCAATCCTTTTCTGAGCTGGCATCCAGAACTGCTGTGCAGCTGGCGCTGATTTGCGAGGAGGTGGCAGCGCGCAAGCTGGGGCTCAAGGATGTCACCCACCAGGTTAGATAGCAGGGCTGTCCCTCCTCCTCGTGGCACCAGTGCGCTTCCCTGCACCTGATGCCTCAGCATTCGTGCCTACCTACCATGCTGGAGGGCAGCAACCAGCACAACACTGTGGCTGCTGCAGATTGCCGACATGATTGCGCACCGCGCGGAGCAGGGCAAAAACTACGGCGTGGTGCTGATACCGGAGGGCCTGGTCGAATACATGCACGATGTGTCTACGCTGATTGCGGGCAAGTGGACCGGCTGGGGTGGCACGGCTCCCAGACAGCCCAAGCAAATCCCAGCTCGCGTGCCTTTGGTTTGCCTGCCCGCTTCGCTGTGCTGTTCTGCAGAGCTGAATGAGCTGCTTGCTCAGGGGCTGGACGCGGCTGACCAGGCCGGCATCACTGCTCGCCTCACGCCAGAGTCTGAGGACGTGAGTTGGGGAGCCAGTGCCCCACGCAAGATGCACACGGCTGCGTCGCTTTGATGCACAGCCGCCGCGGGCGATGATCTGGAAGGGTGCCTGCTTGCCTGCTCCACGCAGGTGTTTTTCCACCTGCCCCCCGGCATCCGCTCGGAGCTGCTGGAGGAGCGCGACCCCCACGGCAACGTGCAGGTGGGGCCGATGCCAGTGCCACTGGCTGCCCTGTGGCCACGCCTCGCGGTGCAGACCTGGCTGAGCAAGCAGCAGATGGCGCGCTGCTGAATGGGCCGTGGGAGTGCAGGTGTCGCACATCGAGACTGAGAAGCTGCTCATCAAGCTGGTGGCCGCTGAGCTGGCGCGGCGCAAGGTGGCTGGAAAGTACAGTGGCAAGTTTGCCGCCCTGCCACACTTCTTCGGGTGAGCAGGATTGCCGCACATGCTAGCTGGGCTCTTGCTGGATGTCTATCATAAACTGCTAGCTTCCATGGCCTCAACCGCGAAAGGCGCCTGTGCCCGCCTGCCCGGCCCCCGCCCGCAGCTACGAGGGCCGCTGCTCGCTGCCCTCCAACTTTGACGCCACCTACTGCAACGCGCTGGGCCAGGCGGCGGGGACGCTGGTGGCCAGCGGGCGCACCGGCCTCATGGCAACCGTCTCCAGTGAGCCGCCAGGAGCCCTCAGGAGCCGCTGTGTCTCCTCACTGAACCGCCGCCAGCTGAAGGGAAGGGGGGGTCTCTCAGCCCTCTTCAGCTGTTGCACGATGCAATGACGTTCGCTCTGCACCTATTTTTCCTGTAGATCTGCAGCTCGCTGCCTCAGAATGGGGCGTGGGCGGCACCCCGCTGCTGTCCATGATGCACATGGAGCGCCGCTCAGGCCGGTGAGCGTGCGCAATTCCAGAAGCTCAGCTGGCGATACTGGCCGGCAGCGGCATCAGCGCAGAACCAGCTGCTCCTCCACTGATGGCGACTTGCTGCTCCGCTCCCTTGCCAAGCAGCGACAAGCCTGTGATCAAGAAGGCGCTGGTGGACCTGGAGGGGGCGCCCATGGCCTGCCTTGCCGCCCAGCGCGAAGCCTGGGCCGACCAGGACTGCTTCCGATCCCCCGGCCCCATCCAGGTACACCTTGCCAGAAGGTGTGGCAGGCCAGCGCTGCACACCAGGTCTGTCAACCGATCACAAGCGCGGCACGGCTGGCCTCCACCCCTTTGCAGTTTCACGGCCACGCCTTTGCGGATGTGGCGACCATGACGCTGGCGCTGGAGGTGAACCAGGGGCAGCCCATCCTGCTGTCGCCTGGGGAGGCCACCGAGACAGTGGGCAGCGGCATCTGAGGGGCACGTGGATTATGTCTGACGTGGATTATGTCTGACGTAAAGCAGGGAGATTCGCACATAACCCTTTCCTTCTCTGACTCTGACATGTCCTGACATGTTGATTGATGTTGTTGAAATCTTGTTCACCAAGCCTCCGCCGTTGCCGTTCGCCGCGCTGCCGGCGCGGCGGTACATCGAGTGTAGTACACAAGCTTTTCTGAGGACTGGGCATTCTTCACCCTCGCAGCGTTTATCCGCGCGTTCAACTCGCGCATCCAAGGCGCGCCATCGCGTGTAAGGCTTTTTGGGGCCGAGGAGAAGCGGGCGACGATTGCGCAGGCCGACAGCTTCTCGGTGGCTTGCGGAGAGCGCCAGCCCCACAAACCAGCGCGTAAATAGGAGGTGATCACCGCTGTCTTGCGCGCCAGGGCCTCACAAGCGCACATGCTCATCTTGAGATGCTGTGACGATCTGCACTGCCAAGCGCTACCTCGGCTCCCATGCCCGGAAATTAACGTAAAGAAAAATCTCTAAATTCTTGCAGCCGTGATTCTGGGAGCGCCGCAGCATGCCGTTGGAGCGGGGTGTGGCGCCGACTGGCGCGGCGCCTCCCAGCCAGACACCAGCCAAGGAACAGGCGGTGCCGCCACTGAAGAGCTTCAAGGAGCTCTCCCCTACCAGAGCGGAGAGGTTGAACTGGTCGGTGCTCGTGCTGCTCACAGCAATCGCCGCCTTGGGGGTCCATGAGGCTCTCAACAGGTGTGCTGGTGGTGCACCGTCGCAGAGCTGCTTCAATGAGCTGCTTTATCTGTGGCTGCCACCGCCACCTGACGACTGACTGCTCATTCTCCGTTCCCTCGCGAGCCTCCTGTGCTTGCTGTACATGGGCTGCTGCAGGGATATGATTCCGATGTGGCGACGCGTGGAGCTTCAGGTGCAGCCGAACGCGCACCGAGAGCCCTTGCTGAGCGTTGAAGCCCTGCGTCATGAGCACCAGGCCATGCCCGAGGTAAAGGATGGACAGCCACAGCAGCGTGTGGAAAAGCAGCAGCAGCCTGTGGCAGAACAGCGTCCGCAGACGGAGCAGCAGGCGCAGCAGCCGAAGACAGAGGCGCAGCTCGGCGCCCGTGCTGAGCCGGCCAAATTTAAGGTGGAGCAGCCACATGAGCCTGAGCAGGTGGAGCAGGCGCATGAGCCGGAGCAAGTGGAGCAGGAGGAGCAGGCGACCTTGGAGGGGCAGCTGATGGGGTGCCGCACGCTGAAGACAGACCCCATCCCCGCCGTGGACAAGTCGCCATCGCTGCGGGTGCTGGAGACCTACACGCCCCAGCAGCAGCAGCAGGCGCAGCAGTACACGGCAGCCGTGGGCGCATGCACCGACTTTGCGTGTTTGCGCCAGGCCAACCAGCTGGTGAGCAGCCTGCCTGGTTTCCTTTTGTGTGGTGGCGAGCGAATACGGCCTGCCTGCGTTGGGTCGCTGCTGCCATGAGGAGCTGAGCCCCCGCTTGGATGCCTGCAGCCGCGGGCGCCCGGTCAGTTCCCTTTCCCTCACTTCCTGGTGATCGGCTTCCCCAAGTGTGCCACCACCTCCATCTATTGGTACGCAAGACAGCAGCGGCCGCGAGCTGGAAGCGTGCAGAACGCATCTCAGCAGGGATGCTGCGCCATGGCCCACCTGCTTGTATCCAGCACTCTAGCGTGCTCCCGCCTGACTGCTCTGCGCCTGACTGCCCTGCAGCCACCTCATCCAGCATCCACAAGTGCAGCACCCCAAGCTGAAGGTCAGCTTGCATGCCATTGCGCCTGTCTGTGTGTTGCTGAGTCAGTGCAAGCAAGCTCCCATTCATGGAGCTGTGCTATCTCCGGCGGTGCTCACTCGCCATGGTGGTGCTGCTGCTTGAAGGAACCACACCTGCTCACCGACAAGTGCCGGCCCAGCCTCTCCAACTGCTCGGTGGAGGCCCAGCAGCAGTATGTGGTCGAGGTGTGTGTGCTGCCTAGGAAGCCAGCAGGTGCCCGCTGCTCTCCCCTTGCTGTTGATTCGGGCCCCATGACTGGGCATGCGCCAAGGCCCCTGATGCACCTGTGCCGCATGCCCGCCCACCCTCCACTACTGTGTGTGCCCTGTCACTGGCCGCCAGATTTTGAACCTGGAGGAAGCAGCGCAGACAAACTTCACGAGAGCGGCATTTGAAGGCAGCACACACTACGTCCAGGCAAGGCTGCCGTGGAGCCAAGGAACCCATTACCTTGACTGGAAGCGGCACGGCTGGCGAGCAGCTCACAGAAAACATCATTGGATGATCGACATCACCATTCAGCCTCGACCCTGCTCTGCGTGCCTGCAGGAGTCTGACTGGCTGCCGGAGCAGCTGGCCGCAGCTTTCCCTTGGCTGAAAATGGCAATCAGCATGCGGGAGCCGATCTCGCAGGCGATTGCAATGCTTCTGCACAATGTCCAGCACGGCCGAGCGTGAGTGAGCATGGCGGTGGGCACTTGCAGGTGTGCACTGGGGAGGATTGTGGCGTGTAGTTTGTTGACCTGTCTCCTAAACTACTGCAGCTTGAAATACTGCACGACCGCCAACATTTTCAACTGCATCCGGAGGGAGCTCAGTGAGTCGGCCGCTGCTGGCTGTTGCTGCGTGCCCCTGGCGCCCACCTGCAGCCTGGCTCGCCATTTGTGCATGCTTGCGAGGAGCAGCTGATGAGAGGCCTGGGCATCCAATGCACTGCAGAGGCAAGGGCACACTACTCATCCAAGCTTCGACAGTGGATGGCCTTCTTCCCCAGGGAGCAGCTGCACGTTGTGCAGGCAAGTCTGCGGAGGCTGGTGTTGGGCTGTCAGCAAGCCTCTCTCCGTGCACATCCACGGCATGCCGCGCTCGTGCATGATGCCGTGCGCTGTGCTGTGCGCCGCTGCAGTATGAGGGCATCACAGCTGTGGACGCTATGCCTGGAGCGCTGCTCCACCTCAAGTCCTTCCTGGGTGTGGACGAGAGCCTGCCTTCTGGCACCCTGCCCCTCACTAACTGGAAGCACCAGCGCAGCGGGCCCGACGAGGTGACTGGCAGCTGGCCAGCAGCGCCGCATGGTACCAGCGGTACCAGCGAATGCTTGCAACGCCACGAGACAAACATTTTGCCTGCATCTGTCAACCCCTGCCGCTGCGGGGTGCCTGCCATGCGTGTGCAGCTGGGAAAGTACTGGATGCTGAGGCGGGCTGACTACGAGCTGCTCGTGGGCATGGCCCGGAACGACACCGTGGAGTGAGCGGGGGCCGCCACCGCGCTTTGGGCGGTAGCTGATACGTCGCCACTGCGTGATGATGCATGGCCTGCTGCCGCGCGTTCTTACAGTCACAGCTGCTTGCATGTTTTGCACTGCCCGTGTGCAGAGTGCTGGGTCTGATGATGCAACATGGGCTTGCCACCAATGCGGAGGCCGATGACTGGCTGGCCAGATGGGAGCGGGTGTGGCAGGCAAGCGGTGCAGCTAGTTATGCCTGAAGGAGGGAGGCGCTCCACAGCTGGGCATGCGGAGCTTGCTTCACACCCTGATAAACTGGATGGCTGCAGGCAAACTTGAGTAGCTGCGGGGAGGAGGGCTCGTCTACCTGCAAGATTGTGGTGTCCTGACAGGAGCATTGGTTGCGAACAGTGCACAGGCTTGGTGATGGCGGTGTTCCCGTGCTGCCGGATGATGTGCCCACCATTGAAGGTCAGCTGGAGCTGGAACTTGAACTCAACACGCTACTTGATACGGTTTGGATTGTGCAGCATTGATTTCCAATAAGCTGTGTGATGGTGCATGCCGCCGCCCCCGTTTGCATTTGCCAGCGACGGCGGCGCTGGCAGGCCGCCACAAGGCAAGTTTTGAACTTCGTCGTTGTGATTGTTCTGTACATGATGATACATTTGGCTACTCTACAATCAGACAGCAAGTCAAACAGCAAGCATGACCAAGCAAGAAGCAGCAGGGGCAAGAGTTGCGTCCCTTTTATCAAGGGATTCGTCATAATGTCTGGAAGGCATGAGAAGAGGATTGAGAGAGATTTCAGCAAAGTGAAGATGTGGTAAATGGGCTGCAGACTACCATGTTGACGCTTACTAAATGCCCAAGCCATACACGTCTGACTGGTACTCGGGCGGGGTTGAGGAGTGGCGCCTGATGCAAGAGGCCTGGATAGCGGGCGAGCTGGCAGTGCCAGCAGGCTGCTTGGGTAGCGGCAGGCTGCCCCTGTGCTGCTGCAGCGCCGGTGGCCCCCGCTCCTGCGTCGCTTGCGTCTCTGGCCTCGCATCGCTGCTGGCGGCTGCCACGGGGATGCTCATCCTGCGCGGCAGCGGCGGCCGTGCTGCCGTCCCATCTTGTCGCTGACGCCTGGGCTGCGCCTGTGGCGCCTCGCCAGCGCCCTGTTCCGGCGACGGCGCAGCCGGCGCAAGCAGCAGCCGCTCCACCAGCTGCTGCGCAGAGGGGCGCAGCGTGGGGTCTGGCTCCATGCAGTCATCCACCAGCGCCGCCACCTGGGCGGGGCAGTCGGCGGGGACCCGCAGCTTCCGCATGCGGCCCCGCACCGGCACGCACGCTGTGCACAGCTCCCAGAGAACCACGCCAAAGCTGCGCAGGGGGAAGCAATGCATCCGGGTGTGTTGGGAAAGGCAACTCATGGCCGGCCTCGGGTGCCCTGCCATGCCGCCCCATTCCAGGTAAATGGTTTGCCCTCCGCTCAATAGCACACACACCTGTAGATGTCGGCCTTCTCGGTGCAGCGCTGCCCCAGCAGCATCTCAGGCGCCGCCTGCAGCCGCTGGGCAGTAAAGGGCTTTCAGGCATGGGGCGGCAGCAGCCAGATAGGCGAGCAGCAGCACAGCACACACAGACTCGGCACTAGCCCTGCGGAAAGCTCACCCAGCTCAGGGTGCCCAGGTTGCCGGTCACAGCCGACAGCTCATGTGCCAGCAGCTTGGCCATGCCCATGTCGGAGATCTTGGCGTTGCCGTGCCTGCACGCACACGCCCAGGAAGGGGAGCAGGCACCACAGCAATGGGTGGCGGCAATGGATGGCAGCAACCCCTGGCGCAAAGGACGTTGCTGGCATCATGCCTCGCTGACATGACGCCTCAACAGGCTCCAACGCTCACTTGTCCAGCAGGATGTTTGCAGACTTGAGGTCGAAGTGCACCAGGCGGCGGCCGTGCATGAAGGCCAGGCCTCGCGCCACATCCAGCGCAACCTGCCCGCAGCGGCCACATGGTAAGCACTGGCATGGTTGCCCAAGCTGCTGATGGTAGGAAGCAGCAGCGCAGGTTCCATGCCCCGCCGTGGTGCCCATCCGGCCAGCCGCCCGCACCCACCTGCTTGCCGCGCCGATACCAGCTGATGCGTCCCGCCGCCAGGTTGGCCGACAGGGTGCCGCCTTCGCAGTACTCAGTGACCTGCAGCACACGGCAGGAGGTCTCTAGGCATCATCGCTGCTGGCTCTGCACATGGCGAGCAACACCGTGGCAGCGGCGGTGTGGTGCATGCAGCATCGGGCTGGCTGCTGCGTACCAGCATGGTGAAGTCGCGGGACAGGCTGGCTCCCAAAAAGCGCACAATGGAGGGGTCTATGCAGGCCTTGAGCAGCTGGACCTCGCGCTGGAAGTCCTCCAGCACGCCGTGGCGCGCCTCGGCGGCAGGCTGTACCGCAGAATACAGAGGCAGGGGCGGGAAGGTAACGGCCCAGGTGGAACAGCAGGCGCCGGGCCGCATAAGCATCACTTTTCAACAGGAACCAACAGCATGTGGCTGACCTGCCAGCCACTTCTGCCGCTCACCGCTAGAACCTTGACTGCCACCGGCTGCACACCAAACCGCATGGCCTTGTAGACACGCCCAAACCCGCCTGCGCCCAGCTGCCATAGCGAGCCATCCGGCCGCCGGCAGATCTCCACCTCTGCAGCAATGCACGCAGCCGGATCTATGAGCCACAACGAGCCCTGCGCAGCCAAGGCTCTCTCTTGCAGCATATCAGGGCCAGCCTCAGCCAGCACGTCTTCTCTGCAGGGCTGGACTCATGATCCAGCACGGCCAGCAAACTGAGCTGTGCGTACCTGTTGGTGCCAACTTCCACCAGAGGTGTGGGTGCGAGGAGCTGCTTGGCTCTGTGCTCTGCTCAACCTGGTGCTGCTGCTGCGATGGCTGCTGCTCCCAGGAGAAACCGCCAGGCACCGTGGCTCCAAGCTGAGACAGAGGCAGCGCCCCGCTCTCGGACAGCAGCTCAGCACGCAGCTCGCTCAGCGAGGCACGGTCAGGTGCGGTGATGCCCACGGCTGAGGCCACGCTACCGATGCTGCTGCTGCTGTCGCCGCTGCCCGGCAGCCGGGCGAGGGGCAGCTGCGCGGTGCTGAGGTGCGGCGGGGAGCGCCGACCATCCAATCGTGGCGCATGCTGTGGTGCCTGCTGCGTCTGCTGCTGCTCAGGCCGCGTCGGGCTTGCAAAAGGCTGCAGACCGGCTGCTGCTGCCGCAAAGGGAGAGACCGTGGAAGGCGTCTTGAGCTCCAGCGACACAGTCGTTGCCGTTAGCGACACCAGGCCACCTCCCTCCTGCTGCTGTCCTTTGTCCTGGGGACCCCGTGGCCCTGGCTGCTCATCGGCCTCCTGCTGCAGCGGCTGGGCCACTGGCTGCTCTGCCTGCCCCCGGCCATGCTGTTCCTGCACGCCGGCTGCAGGCCAGGGTGCCGTCTGGCCAGAGGGACGACGCGCCACGGCATGCCACTGCAGCTGGCGCCACTGCCGCCACAGGAACGCTGCCGCCAGCACCAGCATCAGCGCGGCAGTCATCCCGGAGCCTGACAATGCAGCGGCAACGTCGCTGGCTCTGCCCTCATTGCCAGTTTGGCACACGGGCTGTGCCGAGGTTGCGGTTGCTGCGGAGGCAGAACCTGTAAAGTGTAGGGCACAAGCCAGCGCGGGCTTCAAAATGGACAACATAACTTTACCTCAGCCCCAATCCCACTCTGCATCACAGGTGTGCAAGGCCGGCTGGTTTGCCGCCGCTCTGCGCGGCGGCTGCCGCCCACCACACCCAGCCTGCTGGTTTGCACCCTCGGCGGACACATCTCCCTTTGAGCAGACGAAGGCTGCCAAAACCAGCAAAATGCGCTGAAAATGGAGCTCAAGCGATCCTCACCTGCTTGAAGCAGGGCCGCAACGCGTAGCGGCATGGGCCGGACAAGCACCTGCCCCAGCGTGCGCGTCCCTGTGAGACCTGGGCCGTGTCGGCGCCGACTCGGCGTCCCGACTGCCCAAGCCTCAACTGGGAGCTCAGAAGTGGGTCTCTCCGCTGTCGGATTTGAGGACTTGTGAGCTTGTCAACTGTGCTTGTCAATTGAACGAGAGAGAGCAGCAGGAAGGCCTGCCGCCTGGGGCGCCACGTCACCACCCGCCCTTTGCCGCTTCCTCTTGGAGCTGGGAGCTTGGCTTCAGCTGCAATAGAAGCTAGCGCCACGCGAATGAAACGTACTGCAACTGTACATGCAATACCTGCACGCCTTGCAGGTCTCTGCTTGGGACGCGGGCTGGGGCACGTCTGACGCCAGGGGCACAAACCGTCCCCACTTCCGCCTGGAGTCAACCCCCAAGCCCTCTCCTGTAGTGAGCTGCAAGTGCAGGCGACCCAGTGGTTCCCTGTCTCGATGCGATGTTCTGAAGCTGCTGGCAGTGAGCCGCCGGGCGAGGAGCCACGCTGCGGCGCCTTGCTGGCGGCGCCTTGCCCTAGGGCCGATCGCCTATTATGAGCGGCGGCAGGGGCCCTTGCATGCCTCTAGACTGATCACTGTTAGCAGCAGCAAGCAGCGCGCCAGGTGCGGTCTCCCTATCCAGTTGGTTGAATCGCGCATCTCGCATCCTTGGCGTGGGTGGTTTGCGCAAGGGTGAGGGGCGGGCATTTGTGGGTCACGGTCCGCTTTCCGAAATGTAAGACGGGCTGCCAGCAAGTGTGTTTCGCAGGTTAAGCCAGGCGCAATGCTTCGGGAGCGCCTGGTTGGGCTGACGCCCCGCGAGAGGGCACAGGCGCTCAGAATACCGTCATTTAGAGATTTTTTGGACTCCAGGTGCGCGATATGGGGAGCACGCAGCAGGGATTCTCTGCCGCCGCCGGCGCCCCGTCCCGCGGGCACAACGCGACAGCTTGCTGTGTTCTGCTCTGCAGAGTGGAGAAACTGCATTGGCCTCTCATACTGTTGATAGCCACCGTGCTGCTGCTGCTGAGCCAGCTTGTGATCCCCAGGTGAGGCTGGGCACTGGGCCCGATATAGCCCCAGCATTGTGCTATCAGCTGTTACACTCTCCATCCATTGTTTGCCATAGCAGCTGCATGCTGCTGTGACCACCAACTGTACAATATGTGCCTGCAGGGATGCTGCGGCCACAACTGCGAGGCTGCGCACCAAAACCGTTGTGACGCCACTTTCTATGCCGCAAGCAACACCAGGGGCAGCAGCAAAAACGGGAACCTCAGCGGAGCTGGAAGAGCAGCTGATGGGGTGCCGCACGCTGAAGACAGACCCTATCCCTGCCGTGGACAAGTCGCCATCGCTGCGGGTGCTGGAGACCCACACGCCCCAGCAGCGGCAGCAGGCGCAGCAGTACACGGCAGCCGTGGGCGCATGCACCGACTTTGCGTGTTTGCGCCAGGCCAACCAGCTGGTGAGCAGCCTGCCTGGTTTCCTTTTGTGTTTCCCACCATGCCTGCGTTAGGCGGCTGCTGCTAGTAGAAGCTGAGCCCCCGCTTGGATGCCTGCAGCCGCGGGCGCCCGGTCAGTTCCCTTTCCCCCACTTCCTGGTGATCGGCTTCCCCAAGTGTGCCACCTCGTCTCTGTACTGGTAAGCATTGGGTAACCGCAGCACCAGGGCAGCTGTTGATGGACGGCAAACCCAGCCCTGCTGGCACACCCGTTGAACAGACGCTGCGGCGCCCACGGGACACGTGGTAATGGGCTGACATCCCGCCTGCCTGGTCTGCAGCCACCTCATCCAGCATCCTCAAATCCAGCATCCCAAGGAGAAGGTGAGCGGCAGCATCAGGGAGCAGGAGCGTGCATTCCCAGCACGAGCTGAGCCACCCCACCTTGGGGAGCGCGCGGGCTGGGTGCCGCCTGAACTCCCACTATGTGTGTATGTGTGTGTGCAGGAGTCTCACCTGCTGCTAGACCAGTGCGAGAGGCCTGGGTTGGACTGCCCAGCAGAGGCCCAGCGGCACTATGTGGTTGATGTGCTCAACCTGGCAGAGGCGGCGCAGTCCCAGTTCACCAGAGCCGCATTTGAAGGAAGCACTCACTATGTGCTGGTGAGTGTTGCGGCACCAGGCTGCAGCAGCGGCAGTAATGCAAGGTCTGTCTGGCTCGAGAGTGTACGGCAGGCAGCAGGCACGCGTCATACTGATGTGCTTCCCTGGTGCTGTGCAGGAGGCCGACTGGTTTGCGGAGCGGCTGGCCGCCACCATGCCCTGGCTGAGGGTTGTCGTTTCAATGAGGGACCCCATCTCGCAGGCTATTGCCATGCACCTACATAACATTGCGCATGGACGACCGTAAGTGGGCCCCAAGCACACAACCTATGCAGCCTGGCACCAGGTTCGACCACCCTCCTCATGCATGTCTTTGCTTTACTGCAGGGCCAACTGCACCGCAGATCTGGAGGAAAAAAGCATCTACCACTGCGTGCGAAGGAGCCTGAGTGAGCACCCAGACACCGTATCCCCTTGTTTCTGTGCCCTGCTGCAGTGCAATACCGGTACCCTCTGCAAGCTGTCTGCCTGGCTGGCTGTGCATATGCCTGCAGAAGCTCGGTCGCACTATGCACCCAAAATTGAAAAGTGGATGAAGGCCTTCCCGCGGCGGGAGCAGCTGCACATCTTGCAGGTTGGTGGTGCATAACACATTGGCTGCTCGACTCCTGCCGTCATGCTCGGTGAAACGGCCTGGTTACGCCTGTAAAGAGCTCGGCAACGAGAATAGGCGAGCCAATGTGTGCACGGCAGTAATGCAAGGACGGTCCTGCCCCACCGCTTGGCTTGCAGTTTGAGAACCTGACGCGGCCCGAGGCCATGGCAGGCCAGCTGCAGGGCCTTAAGACCTTCCTGGATCTGAAACCCCTGCTGCCCTCCAGCGAGCTGCCCCTGACAAACTACAAGCACCAGCGCGGCGACGAGGATGCGGTGAGAGCATGGAAGGCTGCCCAGCTGACACATGCTAAAGGTAAAGGTAAAGGTGGGGAAGAGCCTCCACAAGCTTAACTTCCCGGTTTTAACGTCTAGCTTTAGACCATTATTTGATCTGCCCGACGCGCCAAGTGCAGTACCCCCCACTAGTAGTGAATGGGTCCCGGGGAGGCCTGTGCCGAAGCCTTGGCGATTCTATTAGGCGTTCCCGAAGGAATTGGCTTGGATTGGCGCTGAGCCGGTCAGCTATGCCGCGTTTGTCCTCACAAAGTTTTGACATGGGAGGAATCGAACCTGTGCCCTCTCGGAGGGTTTAGACACTAGCTCCAGCGCCTTCAAAGAAGGCCTTTCTTAGCCGCGGCCTAAACATGCATCCCACACTGATCGCACTGTGCTGCTCGCTCATCGCCGCTTGCTCCTCCCTGGGCTGCAGCTTGGGCGGTACTGGATCATGAAGAGATGGGAGATCGAGCACCTGGTTTCAATTGCCCGGAACAGCACCATGGAGTGAGTCCCTGCCTGCCGCCCTTCCCACACCGCTCACCTCGAGTTGCTTGCCGCCTGGAGAAGCATGGCCCGGTGTGCGGTGCACATCGGGGTTGCTGCGTTTGCAGCAGCGTGTGCCACTGCATGCCTGTGCGCTCGCTGCCTTGTATTGCAGCCTATTGGACCTACTCGTGCAGCATGGGTATGCCGGGGAGCAGGGCAAGGCAGAGTGGCTGCAGAATTGGGAGAACATCTGGCAGGTAGGCTGCTGGTCACCAAACGCAATCGGTCAGCGGATGCAAATGTACAGCGGCAGGACCTGGGGTCTATACCTATGGCGGTTTTTGTGGCAGCCTCCCTGCCACTGCTGCTGTCCTGCCAAACCAACAACCCTGGCCCTGCAGGACAACCTCAGCCGATGTGAGCCGGGCCGGTCAGCCCCCTGCAAGGTCGTCGTTTCTTGAGAGGCTCTGCCACAGCTTGCCACCCACTGTATTTGCATGCAGCTCAGCGCCTCCTTCATTGCACGCAATAACCGTACCATGCCAACTTGTAATAACTTCCAAGAGAAAGAAAGTGCGGCAACGTACGTGGGCGCATGCCAGTAACACAACTATACGGACGGGGGAAGGGGTGCACGCACGGCGGTTCAGTAGGATCGGGAATGGGATGCATGTATGGGAGGGGGTGTGGCGGTCAGGGTCATCTTTCAAGGGAGCCAAGGCATCATACACACTTGTCACGAGCACAAGACTGGCTTCAAGTATAGACGAGGCATGCTTAGCTAGGTGGGCAAGAGTGACATCGGAACGCCGCATGCACGGGGAGCTGCCTATGGAGAGGCGGGTGAGGGGTAGGGGCTGACTTGCACTGTCTGTCTGGGGCCCGTCCATGCGGCAGGGGGGCCAGGTCAGGAGGCTGCGGCGCCGTGCCTACCGAAGCAAAAAAAAGGGAAAATGAAAGCGAAAAAAGGACGTAGCACCGCGGGCCCCATGAAGCGGAGGGGAGGCACTAGCGTTGAGTTTGGGGTGCCCTCTGGTGGTGCGAGGCGGCGGCCAGGCCTCACACGAGATGGCCTGGCCCGCAGCAGCAACGCCACCACCAGAGGCATCTGTGGAAGCGGCCACAGCCATCTGCGCGACTGAGGAGCGCTTGCAGAGGCGTGCCAGGCAGTGTCTGGCCCGCCCGACGCCGCGCCGCTGCCTGCAGGGCTGCGCAGGGCGGCCGTGCCGCTGCCGTTGCAACCGCCTGGGCGGGCTTACACCTTGGCGGCGGCAGGCTCCACCTCCTCCACGACGTCGGCGGCGGCGGCGGCGGTGAACCCCTCCTTGGGGGTGCCCTCGCTGTCCTCCTCCTCGTCGTCGATCAGGTGGAAAGTCATCTGGCGCGCAATCTTCCAGGTGCCGGACCGCTTGAGCGTGGGGTCGTCGCTCTTGGGGAAGAAGTAGGCCTGAGAGGAGGTGGTGGTGTGGGAGGGGGGGAGCAGGTGGTGGGCGGTGGTTGGGGGTCAGGGTGAGGGGCAGGGGCGGGGATGGTAGGTGGGCTGCCACAACCACTTGGTTTTCAGTATGCCAGCAGGCCGGCAGGGCCCCCAGCCGCGCCCCACCCACCTGGATGAAGTTCATGATGAAGACGGAGCCGTTGATGATGATCCAGCCAAAGATGCCGGCGATGAAGCCGTAGGCCACTGCGGGCGGGGGGAGGGGAGCAGGGGGGGGGCGGCGGGTCGGCTGCTTTTTGCCAGGCACGGGGCAACAGAGCTGAGGCGCTCCCCACACAAACAGGCTGGGGTCTGGTTCAGCCCAGCCTGGCTGGTAGCAGAGATGTGTGTGTGTGTGTGTGCCCCACCCACCCACCCACCCGAGTAGGTGAATGGCATGGTGATCATGGTGAGGAAGGCGGGCACAGCCTCCTGCACATTCTCCCACCGGATCTTCAGGATGTTGATGATCTGCGGGGGAAGGGGGGGAGAGGAGGTGTGTGTGTGTGGTGGGTGGGTGGCGCACTGACACAAGGCAGGGCAGACAGCAGCAGAGCGGTGGGCCTTGGCTCTGCTTCTTGGCTGCTAACGGTGCTTGCTCAAGTGCTCCCCACAGCTCGGGTGGCGCCCGGGCCCGGGCGCTGCTGCGCTGCCGGCGCGCGGGCTCACCATGAGCGCGCCGCACAGGATCAGCGCGGGGCCGGTGGCGTATGGCGGCACGGTGGCCAGGAGGGGGGAGAAGAAGAGGGAGATGAGGAAGTAGAAGGAGATGGTCAGGGCGGCGATGCCGGTGCGCGCGCCCTCGCGGATGCCAGACGCCGACTCGATGAAGGCGGTGAGCGGGGATGTGCCCAGGCACGCGCCGACTGCGGGGGGGCAGCGCGGCGGGGCGCGGGTCGGCGAGCAACGGGCGGCGCGCACGGCGGCGCCCCGGCGTGCCGGACTGCAGCCCCTCCGTCCCGCTGAGAGAGCAGCCCAGCTGTGGCTGCGGCCGGCGGCGCGGGCGGCTGGCTGGCCCTGCAGGCCCGCTGGTGCGCCACTCACTGGAAATGGAGGCACCATCCACAAGGAAGGCGGTGGTCTGGCGGGGGAACCGCTTCCTCTGCACCACGGCGGCGGCGCGCGGGAGCAGCAGGCGGGGTCAGGTGCCTGGGGGGGTGGGCTCGCGCGTGGGGCGGGGCTGCCCGGAGCGCCGCCATCCGCAGCACCTCACAGGCACGCACAGGGGCGCAGCAGGGGGCCCACAGCAGGGGGCGCACCTTCTGGTCCACAAAGTTGGGGATGAAGTTGGACATGAAGTTGGCCATGGAATAGAAGGTGCCGGTGGCGTCCAGGAAGTCGACGTACCTGCGGCGGTACAGGCGGGTACAGGCGAGGCGGTACAGGCGCAGGCGTCAGGTGCGTGCGCGGTGGGAGGGACGGACGTTGCCGAGCAGGGCAGGCATGGGAGAGGGGCCCCACGGGGGCGGCTGCACAGCACCAGGCTGCACACAGCCGCATGCCCCCAGCCGCACCCCCCATATGAGTCACAAGCACATGGCAGCACGCAGGCTGGCCCCCGCCCCCGCCCGGCGCTCACAGGAAGGTGATGAGGGCCACCCAGAGGTCGCCGTCCTTGAAGCCGCTGAAGTCAAACTTGCCGGCGGTCTGGCTGGTGCTGGGCACCGACACCACCTTCTTGAAGTAGTCCCAGCGCCGCATCTCAGAGGTGTACACGCACGGCTCGCCGGTGTTGGAGTTGACGCCGGTGGGCTGGCAGCCGTTGGGCTTCTCGATGTAGCGGGCCTTGTTGCCATCAGAGGGGATCCTGCGCGGTACGTCGGGGTGGGGAGGCAGGGTGAGAAGCGGCAGGGTGGGGAGCATGGTGAGGAGGCGCAGGGCAGGCTGGGCAGGCGTGTGCCGGGCATGGGCACAGCCCATGCGGGCACCCCACGCGGCGCCGGCGCCGGCGGCAGTACCCTCTCCCGCCCTCTCACCAGGAGATGAAGGTCACAAACAGGAGGCCCACGATGATGGCGCCCTTGACGTTCTGCAGCGGGTGGGGCATGCGCGTGCGTGAGCGGCACAGGCTGGCATGCGTCCGGTGGCCAGGCACGGCGGGGCTTGCCTGGGGGCTGTGCCCATGCAGGCGGCGGCTCCGCTGGTGGCCCCCCGCCCCCGTCCCCGATCCCACACCCGCCCCACACCCCGCCAGGCGCCCACCTTGGCCATGAGCGTGGCCATGATCATGCCACCCGCGATACCCAGCCACATGGTGGCGGAGCGCATGACGCCGGCGGACAGGCAGGCGTAGGTGCCCGAGGGCACCAGGATGCCTCCGTTGGTGGACACCGAGTTGGTGGCGGGGTCCAGCACGCAGATGGAGTCGGCGGACCCGGGGTCTTCCAGCGCGGAGTCGGGGATGGTGTACTGGCGCACGCGGTTGGCGGGGTCGCAGCCTCCCAGGGAGACGAGGGTGGCGGAGTTGTAGGTGGACACGCCGATGCCCTTCGACGACTGCATGCCGATGAAGGCGAGGAAGAGGCCGATGCCGGCGGAGGTGGCCAGCATGACGGAGCGCGGGATCAGCTCCACCAGCTTGGACCGCACGCCCAGCAGGGTGATGATGATGAAGATAAAGCCTGGGGGGCAGGGGGGGGGGACAGGGGAGCACGGGGGTGTGAAGGAGGGTGTGTGTGTGTACAGAGGAGGCCATGGCCCCCGCATGCGCGCCCCCAGGCGCCGCCCGCCCGCCGAGGTGGCCCGCTCCGGCCCCGCCTGCGCCCGCCGCCCCCGCGCCCCTTGCCCGTGGCTCACCCTCCACAAACACGGCGGACAGGGCGGCGTTGAAGGTCACGCGGCCGGTGCCCATGAAGCCGACGACGGTGTATGCGCTGGCAGGGGGCGGGAGGGGGGAGGAGGCGGGGTGCACGTCAGGCGCATGCATGCGCATGATGTGTGGGGCGCTGCGCAGCATGCCGCCCACGGCGTGGCCACCCTTGCTGGTTACAGGGGGGCGACATCGGGCCTGCCGTCTGGGCGGGAGGAGCGGGCGTGTGCAGCACAGGCACAGGCGGCGCGTGGCCCCCACTCACAAGTAGGCGTTGAGGCCCATGGCGGGGCAGATGGCCAGCGGCAGGTTGCCCAGCATGCCCATGAGGAAGTGGGAGCACACGCAGGCGGCTGCGGGGAGGGAGGGGGGGGCAGGGCGGGGCGCGTGGGTGAGCGGGCTTCAGGCGAGAGGCTGCCGCAGCCGGCGGGAGCCCAGCCGGGCCGGCACAGCCGGCTCGGCCGAGACCGCACAGCGGCGGGGGCATGCGCACAGGCAGCGGCTGGCCGGCTGGGCTGGGCTGGGCTGGGCTGGGCTGGGCTGGGCTGGGCTGGGCTGCCTGCGGGCGCACCTGCGGTGGCGGCGATGAGGGAGGAGCGCAGGTCTGTGATGCAGCTCTGGCAGGCGTCAGACTGGAAGGCGGGGGGGGCGCCGATGTCGCAGGTGCCGTCCACCACGCACATGCCTGCGGCGGGAGGGCGGCAGGCGCAGGAGGGGCCGGGCACGGTAGTGTGGGAGGGCCGGGCGCGGGCGCAGGGGGCGGGGGCGCATGGTTAGGTGCGGAGCGGCGCAGGGCGGCGCGGGGCGGGCAGCTGCGCGCACCGCCGGTGTCGGTGAGGATGGCGCTGTTGACGGCCAGGATGTAAGCCACCTGCGGGTGGGGGGAGCAGCAGCAGGGCAGCAGGCGGCAAGGACGGTGAGCATGCAGGCTGACCGGGGCAGGCAGCCCCTTGCGGGCAGGTTGCCGCATGTTTCATGATGACGAGCCTGCTGCCTGCGCGGGCGGCGGCGCTCACCGTCAGGAAGGTCACCGAGCCTCCGCGGATCTCCTGGGTGAAGTAGGTGTTGCGCTCCTTGAGCATGAAGAAGCGGCCGATGGCCTGCGGGGGCGGTGGGGGGGCGCAAGCGGGGGGATGGGCGGCAAGCGAGGCGGAGGGTGCCGTGGGGCTCGGGGAGGGCAGCCGGCGGGCGCCCGGCGTGTGGCCATGGGTGTGCCTGCTGGAAAGGGGCGTCCCCAGCCCGGGTGCCACACCGCGACGGGCGCGGGGGCCGGCAGGCGTGGGGCGCAGCGGTGGGCGCGTCAGCGGCGGCGCCGGTACCAGGCACGCAAGGGGGGAAGCGGGAAGGCCCCATGGAGGCCTGCATGCCCGGTGGGGCATCCGTGCTGCCTCCGGATCCGGCGGTGGGCCAAACCCAAGGACCAGCTGGCCCCAGGGTCTGGGAGCCTGCCATTCTGGCTGCGGCGGCCACCGGGCGGCGGCAGGCAGCGGCGGTGAACCGCGGGGGGAGCAGAACCCTGCCCGGCAGGCCACCCTGCTAGCTGCGGCAGGCCTCCCACGCAGCCACCAGGCCGTGATGCCCAAGTTGGGGCTCAGCGGGTGGGAGTTTTGGACGGGGGCCCACTAGGGCATGCCAGAGCCGCTCCCAGACGCCGCTGTTCGGCCAGCGCTGCTCGTTCCACCAAATTGTCCCTACCATGGCGCTCCCAGCGACATAGCAGCGAACCGGGGGCGCGCACGGCGCCGATTGCGGGACAGGGTTTCGGCAGCGTCTGCCCTGGCCTACCAGCACACTCACCGACTCCCCGACCGCATCATTGAGCTTGTCGAAGACGCCCATGGTTGCTGGCGCAACAAAACCCTGCTCGGACAGATGCAGCCCGTTGGCGCTGTTTGAAGCCGCTCGCCTCCGCAGCAGCTGTCAGCACAAGCAGCGGTGACCGATATCTACTGCTTGAACAGTCTGCCCGCAGCTGCGCAGGGTGTACCCAGCACGTGTTGGCCCGTGCTGAGCCCTGCTCTGCAGCAACAATCTTGGGTACGCCTGTTACAACGAGACTTATCGGCGCCGGTCACATCAAGGGCGATGGCCCAGTCGTGAGGGATGGAGTGAGTGCCTGCCCGCAGGAGGCCCCCCACCACCGCCTGTTTCCGCCCGCCGCCGCTCCCGCCCCCCCCCCTTGAACCTACCCCCCCCACTCCTCTTAGGCTGCAACGCCGGCAAAACTGCCGGTTCTGGCTGCTGATTATACACATTCCCAACCAGAACAAGCCAGCCAGCAAGCCTAAGCCCAGCCCCGCTGCCCTGCCTTGGAAGGTGCCCAGGGGCCCCCCGCACCGGCGGCCGGCCCGCATCAAGCCTTGCCCTTGCGCCCCCTGCCGCGGCCCCTGCCAGCCCCCGCCGCTGGAAGGAAGTTGAGCATGGATTGCTGCCCGGCGGCCGCCGCTGCGGTTGCCTTCTTGCTGCCCCGGCCCCGGCCCCGACCTGCACGGTGAGGTGCCAGCAACACCGTCAGCAGCCTGCCTCAGCAAGCCTGCTTCGGGACGGCAGCGTGCCGCTGCGCAAGCACCCGGAAGCCAGCACCAACAGCTGGGACCCAGATGCAGGGAGCACCAGGACGAGCAGCAGCACGGATGCCGCTGCCAGCCCACCCTGAGTTTGGGGCTTGGGAGGCGTGTCGCCGTCTGCGCCTGGCAGCGGCGCCGCCTTGCGCGCCTTGACGTTGGCCGCAAACAGCTCGTCCGCCTGTTGCAACCGCCTGCGCCGCTCCGCCTCCGCCCTGCACGACGGGGGCGCGCATGGCGCGGCACGGCACTCATGGCCGAATACAGGCTGGCAGCGCCTTGCTCCGCCGCTCTGCCAGAATCCCGCCGCCAGGAGCAGGCAGGAGGCGACGGTGGCGCAGGTGCAAGGCAGGCGGGCAGGCAGGCAGACGGCCGAGCGGGCGGGCGGCGGCACACTTTATGAAGGCGCCGGCGTCCACGGGCCCATCCTCGGCATACGGCTCCTCGGCAAATGCCACCAGCGTGCGCGAGACCGCCGCCGCCGCGCCGGCGCCGCCGCTCTTCCTGAACGCCTTGTAGTTGGGGCCGCCGCCGCCGCCGCCGCCGTTGGTGCTGCCGGTGCCGCGCGCGGCGGGCGGCGGGTGCGCCGCAATCAGCGGCAGGAAGGCCACCACGGACCTGCCAGCCTCGCTGGCCGCATCCCCATCCCCCTCCTGCCCGCCATCCGCGCCGCCATCCGCGCCCTGAGCCGCTCCCTCTGCTGCCGCTGCAGGCGCAGCCCCTGCTGCTGCTGCCACGTTGGTGCGGCCGCGGCGCCCGCGCCCCGCCCCACCCGCTGCCGCCGTCTTGGCGGCTGAGGCAGCCGGCTGTGTGGGGTCTGCAGGCGCGCACGCTTGTGGGCTCGCATCCCCACCATCTGACACTGCCGCATCGTGCTGCTGCTGCTGCCGCTGCTGCCTGCCGTGGCTCATTGTGTGCCAGCCCTCTGCTTCGGGCATGGGGCGCGGCGGCGCTCGTGCGGCGCGCGCTGCCGGGGGCCCTGCTGCTGCCGCCGCCCCCGGCTCGCCCTGGCGCCGCTTCTTGGCAGGTGTAGCATGCACCTCCTCCCCCTCGCTGTCCTGCTGCTGCTCCTGCTCCTGCTGCTCCGCCTTCCGCCGCTTCCTGCCGCCAGCGGCGGCCTGTGGCGCAGCTGCAACCATTGGCTGCGCCGCCTCCTCCTCCTCCTGCTGCTGTTGCTGCTGCAGCTGCTTCTGGGTATGTGCTGCCCTCGCAGCCGCCGCTGCTGCCGATGGCTTGGGCTTGGCGGCATCCTCTGCTGCCAGCACACGCTGTGTGCCCCGCAGGTGGCTCAGATCCTCGCTGGCATCTGTTTCGGAGCCGCTGCCCTGCCCCTCCCCTCCTTCCTCCTCCTCCAGGGCTGCCCCCTTCCTGCCCCTGCCCCTGCCCTTGCTGCCGGTGGTGGATCGCGTGCCAGCCGCCTCCCTGCCACCCCGTCCCTTGCCCTTGCCCTTGCCTGCCGCGGGAGGCGTGGTGTCCGCCTCCCCCGCCGGCAGCTGCACCGCTGCGTCCACGCTGCCCTCCAGCATGCCAGCCTGCAGCCGGGGCCCAGAGGGAGGGAGGGGCCAGCAGGAGGGCAGGCGTCGGCAGGCGGAGGCGAGGGCACAGGCCCAGCACGGCCAGCGCAGGTGCATGCTGGCTGTCATGCTAGCGGGCAGGCAGGCAGCTGGGCCCTCACGATGAGCAGCTGCGGCGTGGTCCAGGCCAGCTTCCTGTAGGACGCCGGCATCGCATCCGCCTCGCTGCCCCGCACCACCACCGCCCCCGCCGCCTTGGCCGCCGCCGCCGCGCCGCGCCCCGACGCCGGCGCCTCGCTGTTTGCGGCGCCCAGCAGGCGGGCCGCCTCCTGCAGCGCCGCGTCGCGCGCGGCGGGCAGCCACAGCAGGCTGCGCCCCGCCAGTGCCCGCTGCCCCGCGCAGCGCAGCAGCGCCGCGGGCCCCGCCAGCGCCGTGACCCGCCCCCCAGGCTTCTCGTACTGCAGCTGTACTGGGTAGGCGCCCTCCTCGGGCCGGCTGTTGCGCCACACCTGCTGCTGCTGCCACTCCAGCAGCCTGCGGGCAAATGGGCGGCAGGCGGGCGGAAGGGTCAATCGCCTGGTCGGTGGCAGATGACGTTTCCCAGCATACACACAGCAGCCACACGAGACGGGCAAGCATGGGTGGCGGGCAGCAGGGCGCAGCATTGACCGGGGGCAGGCGGGTGGCTGCGCCGCTTGCCAGCTGGCTCCCACGACCGGATAGCCGCGCAGCAGCGCCAGCAGGGTGGGGCCATCCACGCGCAGCGGCGCAGCGCCCAGCGCCAGCACCCGCGTGCCAGGGTGGTCTGGCAGCTGGTCTGTGGGGCGCACAGGGCCAAAGAGAGATAGCAGGGGCATCAGCGGTGCTGCCTGGTTGGCTTGACGTGCATGCAGTGGCTGCCCGCTCCTTTGTGCTCTTGCTCTGTCGCAGGCAGGCTGGTGCGGTCGGGCTGGGTGGCAATCCCAGGCAGCTCGCTCACCCGTCAGCGGCAGGCCCGTGGCGGCGGCCGCCTCCTCCAGCGCTGCAAGCGCGCCGGCGTCAGCCGCCTCGCGCTGCGCTGGGCTCAGGTACAGAACCCAGTCCTGCACGGGTGGCGTGGAGCGTGCACGGGTGCGCTGTGTGTCAGCTTGGTGGGACCCGCTGATGGCGCAGGGTCGCAACACGGTGCAGCCATGGCGAGGCTCTGAGGCGTTACAAGAGGAAGGGGTCGTGGAGGCTGGGCACTCTGGGCCAGGCCTGCCCCGTGCCAGCCCCAGCCACCCAGCCCCAGCCGCGGCCACCCGGCTTGCCTGATGGTACAGCTTGAAGGGCGACTTGTAGCCAAAGCGGACCATGCAGTTGGGTGGCACGCGCGCCGCCTCGCCGCCCAGCCGCTCGCTGTCGGCAAAGGTGCTCGTGGGCGACACCCAGGTGCCGTACTTGCTGCGGTCTGTACGGGGGGGAATAGTGGAAGGATCCGCAGCACGTCAGACGGGGAGAAAGGGGAGACTGGCGGCCACAGCGAGCGGCAGCGGGTGGCGGCGGCGACGGCGGCGGCGCACCTTTCAGCAGCACGTAGGGCTGCCCCCCTTCCTCCCGCTGCCAATCCTCCGCTGTTGGCACCGTTATGTCGGCATGCTTGCGTGAAATGGACTTGTCCTCCCCGACTGGCAGCTCCGCTTGCCCCTGCCGCCCCACCACCACCGCCCCGGGCTTCAGCCAGAATTTGACGCTGCAGGCCTGGGAGCTTCGGTCCTCTGTGGCGTGCCGCTTAGCCTCCAGCAGCCACAGCGAGCTGCCCATCGCTGAGTATTGGCGGATGGAGTGATCGGGAGGCTAGATGTTGTTCGACATGCTGTCTGCAGCCTCAAGAATGTCGCGGCGAGCGTGGGGAGCTCTACATGCTTCCTGCTGCGCCATGTGTTGCCCGCTGATGTGGCACCTCCCCCGATTCGTCTGGCTCATCAGGCACGCTCTCTCCCGCGATCCCTCCCTTTCCTTCGCCTTTCAAAGTCTCTAAGGCTTCTATTTCTCCCCTCCCGCACCCCGCAGCTGCCGCAAATTTAAAATTATGAACCAACCTGTCATCCTTTATGCCTTAGAACGGCGCCAAAACGGCGCCAAGAATGTGTTTCTCACTAAGTCAGATGTAGAGGGCATCATCCGGATCAAGCAGGGCGACCAGCAGGCGCCCTCAGGCCGGCGGCGGCGGGGTGCGGGAGGGGGGGCGGCAGTGCAGGGCGGCACCAAGAACTACAGCAAGAAGGTGCTGCAGTTCTTCCAGGTGCTGAAGGGCGCTGGCGGTCAGGACATCCTGTGCCGCTGCGTCAAGCGCAGCGGAGAGTGGCGGTGGTGCCCCGTGGTGCCGCTCGAGGAGCTGCCCCGAGTGATCAAGGAGCACCACGAGCGGGCGACTGGCTTCAGCGGTGTGGAGAAGCTGTACACACATGTGAGTGATACAAGGGGTGCAATGCTGCCGCCAGACCAACTGGAGAGTGCTCTGCATCAGGCAGCAACCGGATGCATCGCAGCAAGCACGGGGGGTGCGGCACGGCCAAGGTGGCGCTGCCCTCCTCTCCATCTATCCCTCCTTCCCTCCCTCACGCCGCGCACTCCCCTGGTCCTCCTTTGCTGCTCTGCTGCCTTTCCTGCAGCTT